TTTTCGTAAATAATTTGTAAATCACCTTTTACCTAGTAAATGATTCTAAAGATTCAACTACACTTTATGTTTTGCCTGTCAGTTAAAATAGAAGACTGTCTCGAGAACAGACGGTAGATTTCTATATCGTCTTGCCCTGTCAAGACTTAACGTTTTACCTGCCAGTTGAAAGGGTCAGGTAAGGCGGTTTAAGGACTAGTGTCTAGTGTACACACTAGAAGTTATATCGTTCGTAAAGATTATGGAGGAAGGACTGCCTTTATCAATTATAGTATTAGGTAGTATTAACTAGTGAAGTCTAATAGAAAAATCCTGAAATTTTACTAAAAAATTATTGTATAATATTTATGGATAAAATTTTATTTGTAAATACTCAAAACTAATTGTGAAAATAATATTTGATTGGAAATAATAATTAAATACATATCGTATTTTAGCCATGTTTCATAGCTCCGCATTCCTAAGTAGATAGTTATAAGATAAGATTTTGAAATAAAAAAGGGGGTAAGGCAAGAGTGTATTCTGTCTCCAATGTTGTTCAATTTATATGTGGAAAGAGCATTCACTGAGTCAATCTCCGATAGTCCCTTTGCTTTGGAAATGAATGGCATTCCAATTAATAATATTCGATATGCGGATGACACAGTGATATTGGCAGACAATGCAAATGATCTCCAAATCCTTCTAAATAAGGTCAACAACGAAAGCCAAAGACTGGGTTTAAACATAAATCCTACAAAAACTAAATTTATGGCTGTTAGCAGAAACAATATTCTGAACACCAGAATTTACTTAAATGGAGAGGTCATCAAGCAGGTCACACAATTTAAATATTTGGGATGCATGGTTAACGAAACGTGGGATCCAGATCAGGAGATCAAATGCAGGATCGAACAAGCAAGATCTACTTTTCTGAGACTGTGAAGATTTCTCACAGATAGGAACTTGAACTTCGGCCTTAGAATGGTGAAGTGCTATGCCTGGTCCGTTTTGTTATATAGTGTGGAAGCATGGACACTGAAGGTAGCAACAATAAACCGAATTGAAGCCTTCGAAATGTGGACCCTACGACGAATGCTAAGAGTGCCCTGGGTCGACCGTGTTAGGAATGAAGACATTCTCAGAAGAGCTGGTCTAGAAGAACGTGAACTCTTCGAAATCATCAAGAACAGGAAAATAGCCTAATTGGGACACATACTACGTTGAGAACGCTATCACTTTCAGCGTCTCATTCTCCAGGGTAAAATAGAGGGGGCAAAAGGGGAATAGGCCGAAGGACGTTATCCTGGCTGAGAAATATTCGTCATTGGACAGGCATACAGGACTTCGAAGCACTCCAAGTCACAGCAGTTAATAGAACCATTTGATGAGGAAGAAAAAGATGAACGCCTACGCAGGAATCTGCACGGCACCTTAAGATGAAGAAGACTACAAGTAGACGTCATCCACAGAATCAAATCCTTTAAGTGGCAATGGGCAGGATACCTGGCAAGAAGGACGTATAACAGATGGACCACAAAAATTACAGAATGGTACCCACGAGGTTTGCACCTGAGATGAGACCATGATGTTAGGAAATTTGCAGGGATAACTTAGTCAATATAGCCAATAATACACAACAATGGGCTCAACTACAAGGAGAGTGTCTAAATATGTGAGGGAGGTCTAAACCATAATTGGGGGAAATGGTCGAATAAGCTGAAAATTATGATGACAATGAATAATTAAATATTTCTAAAGATACTTAAGATCATTTGGTGAATTATCGAAAAATATAATATGAAATGAAGATTGGCTGCTGTCATCGTCATTTCCAAGCCAATTGGACGTTTATTTTCTATCATAGGGTATTAGATTTTTAAAAGTTTCTTATTACTACACGTATTCCGTGAATATTAAGAAATCATATAGTTTTAACCATTACCAATCAAATTTTGATTATAAAAAAGCAGGAAGTGAAACTGATCTAAATATGAAGTGTATAGTAACTTTTACATCTGAGTTATAAAAAGGTTATTTTTTTTGCAGCAGGAAACAATAATTATATTAAACAGAAACATTTTTTTGATAATGATATTTAACTTGAAGTTTTGGTTTGATTTTTTAGGAAAGTTTATAAGCCGAATATAGAAAAATTTTATTTTTCTTAGTATAGTATTTAGTACGTATTTAATAATTATACAAATAAATAAAATGAAAAGCACATATTACATATTGAGTGTACTTTAATACTTTACTTTTGTAATAAATTAAAATGGTATTTATATTATCACTATTGTGTTATATTTTATTTATAATATAAAAATGTTTTTTTTAAACTGAAACGTAAATTTAAGCATTATGTTATGATATACTACAATAATAAAAGTTTATTGTTGATAATGTCAAGACATGAATTTGCACACAGAACTTCATTATACACAATGCTATAAATAATTGAGAAAATCGCAAGTAAAAATTCCAGTGTACAGGGTGGCGCCTCTCATACGCCGCGGAGGCTTCAAGGAGAACGACAGTTTGTATTGAAATGAAATTTTTTGAGTGTATGTAGGTTAATTCGGAGCACTTTTTAAAAATATAGAGTTCTACAGGGTGTCCCCAAAAAACGTTACATATCAAAGTTGTGTTTTTGTAATGGAACACCCTATATATTAATTGATTTTCGGATTCGAGAAAAAAAATCAAGGTGAGTTTTATTAAAGAAGCATGTGCCTAAAATGTAAGGATTTTGACATATTTCATATTTTGTGAAAATAAAGAGTAAATTTTAAATTTCAATAACAGCTATCTAAATTTTAATTTACCCTGTATAGCCTGATATTTAATTATAATAACGATTGTATGTTAAACCAAATTAAAATTTGACCCGAAAAGTTATACAGGGTGGGACAAAATTAATATGGAATTTTGGTCACTTACAAAAGCAAGTTACTCCTTTATTTTAAATAGAACACCTAGTATATTATTCCAGTGTTCAATAGGGAATTCATAGATCCCTTCAAAATATTATTAAGGTTGCCTACATGTCAGACAAAGATTTTCCTAGATATTTTAATTTTTATGATTTTGCTGTTTAACAAAAATTAAAGGATGTAGAGTATAGAGTATAATACCCAACGGTAATAAAAATATAGGCGTTTAAAACATATTTTAATTATTACAGAATTAAAACTAGATATAAACGTTGTAGCGTTTTTTATAAAACATTACAACTGCGAACGGCAGCTTTTCATCGGAGAGCAGTCGTGGATAAGGTATTTCACTAGAGAGAAAACCAATCAATAACAATAAACAAAAAAATACAGATATTGGGCGCCAGGCATGTACAGAGAAAGAAAACACAGTTGTATATTACTTAAAACTAATGACTATATTTTATGATGTTCTTTGCTGGTACATGACATTGTAGAATTCTAATAAAATATATAGTGGTTATCTGTCAAAAAAAAGAGTTGTACTAAATATGTATGAAAGTAATACCATTACAAGACGTAATGTAATGAAACCTAAGATCTAAATCATATTTTAAATATTAAATCGACATGAATGTTCTTAACAATCTAACCACTAAACATAGTCTGTACGATATTACTTAAAATGTACGTTATTGTTTAAGACTGAAAATTGACTGAAAATCTGAAACTAAACCTACACTTAGCTGTTCTTGAAGCAATCCTGTTTCGAAGAGTAGCAGCGTGAGGTGGGCTCATATCTCTGTACTGTCTGTCGGCGATCCTGTTGGCAAATACAACAAAAGAGGCCAGAATGAGGACACCATGAATCAATACAGCCGTAGCTACTGACTAGGCTTAGAAATGGGAGCGAAGCAGCATGGGGCTTACGCTGTATTCATACTGTGGCAATATGGGGACATTACCCGTACCTTGGAACACTACTAGGACCTTGGATAATGTCCGTAACTTGGGACCATAACCATGGACACAGTCCGTCCATAAGATAATGTACGTCCATAAGAAAACGGTACAGGGAACTACCCGTACCACAGAATCCGTCCGTCCATAGACCCTCGAAACACTTCCGAGGAGGCTCAATAATAAACAAAAGAACTGTCCTTTGTTGCCTTTTAACATTCTGGGGACAAGCAGCAAAAAGTACACCAACGTGTCAGCAAAATACAAATACGAGTTAAGGTGGGTCAATCAAAAACTCTACCCTGTAGCTTCGAAATGGCAGCTGATTCAGATTTTTTGCAGCTTAAGATTTAAATTGCCATTTCTAAAAGCAGGATTTGCAACCGTGGCCAAAAACAAAGTGAGGTTAAAACGCAGAGAGGCGCCTTGACATATAACAAGGATCTTGACAGCACGCGCCTCCACAGAACAGTAAAACGATAGGGAACTAGGGAACGTAAAAATTACGCCAAGCGTGCCAAATAAATTATCAGGCCTGAACGATACGGAATCCGGTGATGATAGGCCCAGACATCATATATTATATATAAAAAAGACATGTAACGAACTAAAAACGTTACAACGTATAATTAAGTTTATTTAAAAATTAGGTAGATGAAATCAAATGCTCAAAATACTTCCTTTCCTGTTCAGTGTATAAAATGATTCTCTTTTCAAAAGATCTTTTCATTTTAAAAGAAATATGTGAAGTTCTACCATGTTGTACCATTCAAAGTATTAGCTTGGACCAAGGAAAAACTGCAAATAACACAGGATCCCAATTTATTAAAGTTGATGTGCCATGCCAGATAGTAAATAACCAAGTGATTTTAAATAATGAATCGCAAACAGAAGAATTGGAAAACATCGGTTATACAAAAGATGGCAATTTAAGGAAAAGAAGAAAAATAGATAAAATTTCTAAGCAAGAAGAACTTATAAAAAAACGAGAAAAACTAATTAAAGATCACCAGGTGTTGCCTGGTTGTAACGTGAATAGATGCAAAAAAAGTGTGTGAAGCTAATACCAGAAGATCAACGAACAATTTTAAACGCTAGTTTTTGGAAATTTTCTAGCAAGGAGAGAAAAGGGTTTATTTTAAATACATGCAGTCGATTGAATGTAAAACGGCGAACTACTGAAAGCGAAAGAAAACAAAACACCTTTAAATACAAATTAAAAGCTGCAAATGGTGAAATCATAGAAGTCTGTAAAAATTTTTTCCTCACAACGCTTGGGTACAAAAAAACGAACGACAGGGTTTTACACGATACTCTCACGAAAATCCCAAGAAACCAGTTAAATGCTAGACCAGATCAACGGACAAGATCAGCCAAGAAAAAAATAAACTATGAATTGGTAGATGCGCACATAGAATCTTTTGAACCATCTATATCACATTATAGGTATGTAGATTATTAGAAAAGAAATTATTATCCTCAAAGTTAAAAAAAACTTTATTTTTCATTTTAGGAGAGAACACGCTCCAAATCGAAGATATCTGCCGAGCGACATTTCCGTTTCTGTAATGTTTGAGTTATTTAAATCCCAATACCCAACCATGAAAGTTAGCTACGAAGCTTATCGTTTACGTGTTAAGGTCAAAAATATTTCATTTGCTTCATTAGGACACGAGGAATGTGAACGCTGTGAAGAATTCAAATTGCATGATCACACGAAGGATGATTTGCAAGAAAATTGTGAAAAGTGCTGCTCTTGGAAGAAGCACATTGATCACGCCAAAGACTCCAGAGAATTATACCAGACGCATGCCAAAACTAAGTTTGAAGATGGTACTGTTTGTTTCTCCGTGGACTTGCAGAAGGTGATCATGTTGCCCAGGGTCGATACTTTTAAAACAGTTCTGTTTATTAAAAGACTTACAACTTATAACGAAAGCTTTGTCCCAGTAGGAATTATGTCAAAACAAAAACCGTTTGCAGTGCTTTGGAATGAAGCTATATCAGGTAGGGACAAAGAAGACATTGTAAGCTGTTTTTATGCATTTTTTCTAAAGCATCGAGACGCACCAAAAATTATTCTTTGGCTGGATAATTGTTCCAGCCAAAATAAAAATTGGTGTCTTCTTTCTTTCTTTGTTAGGATAATAAACTCCTCTGAAATATTGGCTAGCGAAATATTAATCAATTTTTTTGAGCCCGGGCATACTTTCATGTCCGCCGATAGCTTCCACCACCAGGTGGAGCTATCACTAAAAAGGAAAGGCAAGGTATACGATTTTAATGATTTTGTAGAAGCTGTACAAAAGGCACAAAAATCGAGAACTGAAGTAAAAATAATGTCTCATCACGATTTTTACCAATGGAAAGACCTTAAATCTGAGGCAAAAATGAAACAACAAAAAAAAAGAATTTATTTAAGCGATATTGTACAAATAAAAGCTACTCGTGGGTCATTTTTTTTACATTATAAATCTTCTTTAAACAACGAATTTGAAAAATTAGATTTCCTATACAAAAAGGCAATGACAAAGGGTGGTATTTTTTCACAATTTGTGCCACTTCGTCGTACTGCACCTAGAGGTTTTCCGAAAACAAAAAAAGATGCCATCATTAAAAATCTTGGTAACATAATGCCAGAGAACCGAAAAGAGTTTTGGATAAATTTGCCCGAAACTGATAACTAATGAACTTTTGAAATTTTTTGCAATTTGTTATTGTGTGCCTTTTTGTATAAGCGTTAAAGTTTAAGTTAGTGTGTTATGTTTTAGTAAGAAATTAGAAATTATTTGTCGAATTTTTTAACTGTTTGTATTTGTAATTTCTAACTGTTTATATTTGCGATTATTTCATATTATTATAACCTAATAAAGCACCTAATAAAGCACATTAAAAAATTAATCTATAGTCTTATTCAAAGTAAAAATAAATATTTATACATTTTTGTCAATCTATTGAGAGTTTTGCGCACATACGGCATTTTTGTTTTGAATAAAGGCCATAAAATTTTAGTTCAAAACGCCGTAAATGATTTTTTTAATTAATGTTAATAAATACGATTATTTTTGAGTACTTAACTTATTTTTATACTTATTTTGTTCAATAATTCACGATTGTTATCTTCTAAATTTTCCTAATAGTCAAGGACTAATCAAATAATTTTAACCTCATTTTTCTCCGCTTGGCGCTCGTTGTAGATACGGCATGTGTTTTTAGGACGGCAGTATAAAGTTCGACTATCTTGGTGACTATCGGTGGCTTCGATGTGGCTATCGGCCTGATCCACCTGTTGACCTGTTCAGATCTATCGTGGTCCTCTTCTGAAGATCGGGGAAGTTAGCAACTCATTGAAAGCAGGAATTATAAAATATGATCCTGTTTGGGCTGCTACAATCCTGCTTTATCCTGCTTCAAATCCCAACCCAGCCACACCTACCGATTTTGAGCTATAGGTTTAGTTTGGTTTGGTTAAAAAAAATCCAAAACTTTTTTTAGAAAAATTCCAAATTTAAAAAAAAAAATCGCGCAAAAAAACTGATAATCGTGTTTCTTGGGTCGAAATATACTACCCCTAAAAATATTTGCACTTACTTAAGACTCACCCTGTATAACATATAATAGGGAAAATTTAACCAAAACGTAAGGCAAAAAAATAGCAAAAAAAATCGACACGGGCTCCTCCTTACATTGCCCCTTTGGCCTAGTACGACCCTGGATCGACGTACTGTACTAAAGAAACATAGGAGTAAGAATCCGTGTGTTTTAGCCTAAGAGCTGACGACATATTTAGAGAACATATTTTAGGCAAGCTAGAATAACTTAAAATGTATAGTTTATTAACTGGTGAACCCAGAATCCTAAGTCTGGCTGGGGGGTTGGGGGTATTTCGCTACTGCGCAACCCCTAACATTTGCAAAAAAATAAATCAAAAAAACATTCTTTAGGCAACTTGAAATTTGTTTATTCTTAAAATTTTAGCATCTATTTAACCTAGAAATAAGTATGCCAGACTTTTTTTCGGGTTTAAAGTGTATCCAGACCATTCCAAATATGTTTAATTATTATACCTAGAAAACATACTTTAGGCATTCTAAAATTTTTACAGCGTGTTTATTAGATGATATTAAAAATATGTGTTAATTGCCAGACGAATTCAATGGGATTTAATACTTGCCAGACGCGAATAAAGATTTTAAATGAGCGCGATAAGAAAGTCTTATGAGTATCTATAAGCGCGAGAAAGATAGTTTATTGAGACCCGGTCGGCAGCCGATGCGGTTGACGTAATACGTTTGGAGTACTTCAAATTTTCATAAAAACAATTTTTTGCGGTTTCATTTCAATTATTTGCAGGCTTTTATTTCATAGATTATTTTGATTATTTTGTTGGAGTTAAGTGGTACAAATAGATATTTTAGTAACTACTAATTTTCAGCTACTAACTAAATCACAATGGGTAAAAGCCATTTAAGTTGTGTAGTTTGTGAAAAAAGTTACTAGTGACAAAGTTATTGTTTTTGATGAAGGCAGATTGCAAAAATGCAAAGGAATTTTAAAAGTGCGCCAACAACATGGCTAAAAATATAAACAAGTGGTTTTACCAAGAAAACGTAGTCCCGACAAAAAGGGTACCATGTATAGCGCTAAAAAAATAAGTATTCTGGAATTTTATTAAAGTACTATTGTTAATCTTTCTTAAATAGATTCAAAAGTAAGAAGTAGAAGTGCTTTACTTTTATGCTTAGGCGTTAAAATGACTTTTTTTATATTGTCAATCAGGTCGCAAAATTTAATAATAATATAATATGTCACAAAAGTATAATAATAATTATACTTTTGTGACGTTAAATATTTTTTATATTATGCTAATTTTTTAAATAATTATTCGTTTTTCTTATTCTTTTAGATACAAAATACTTAAATTAAAAAGTCTTCTTATTGAAAGGATTTCAATCATACATTTTTATTAAAAATGTTTCTTTTATTTATTCAATATTAGTAAGTTTTTTCTAAGTTTTACGACTCCAAAATGCTGTTACGTCAGCCGCATCGGCTGCCGACCGGAATCTCAATAAACTATCTTTCTCGGGCTTATAGATACTCATATGACTTTCTTATCGCGCTCATTTAAAACCTTTTATTTGCGTCCACAGCGATATTAAATCCCATTGAATTCGTCTGGCAATTAACACATATTTTTTAATCATCATCTAATAAACACGCTGTAAAAATTTTAGAATGCCTAAAGTATGTTTTCTAGGTATAATAATTAAACATATTTGGAATGGTCTGGTTACACTTTAAACCCGAAAAAAAAGTCTGGCATACTTATTTCTAGGTTAAATAGATGCTAAAATTTAAGAATAGACAAATTTCAAGTTGCCTAAAGAATGTTTTTTGGATTTATTTTTTTGCAAATGTTAGGGGTTGCGCAGTAGCGAGACTTAGGATTCTGGGTTCACCAGTTAACAAACTATACATTTTTAGTTATTCTAGCTTGCCTAAAATATGTTCTCTAAATATGTCGTCAGCTCTTAGGCTATTTGCTTTAGCGTGATCGTAACGGAAATTACGGAGATAGCACCATTTCGGTGGCTATTTCAGATCACTGGGAGTTAGCAGATATTATTGAGTTAAAAAAAATTTCTTTAATGAGAAAAAAATGCATTTACTTTTCCTACTTATAGAGTATTTTTTTCTCTTTCTAACGGTATAAAAAAAACTTATTAACGTAAAAAATGAAGTTAGCAGGTTATCACGTTTCACTGACGAATATGTTTCTCAAGACCACGACGGAGAAAAATCAAAAGCTTTCCATGATTTAAGTAAAAACAATTATTGGATTGTTAGGGGGTGCCTCCCTGAGGGTGTGTCTGCAACAGGACACTGTCTCCTCAATGAACACCTCAGACGCTTAGAATCAACTACGAGTCAGACCCAATGGGGAAAATGAAGAAACACCAGAACACCTCTTTCCTGAGTGTGCCAAATTTATTTATTTATCGTATGGCAAGCACATCGTTTAACGTGTAACCCTGCCTGTTCTATGGGAACTCTCTCCATTATTTTGGTGGCGATGCGGTTATACAGAAGTCTTTCTAAGAGCTTATAGATTGAGCTCAGCAATGCCACTGGGCGATAGCTTTTCGGTTCATCGCTCGGCTTTCCTGGCTTCAATAGGGCGATGATTTTTGAGCGTAGTGTGCCAAAGTGACAACTATTCGTACCATAAACTTTGGTACGGAGTGATATCGGAGGTGGAGAAATACCCTCCGTAAAACCGTCTCAGATACTGACTTTTGTCAAAGCCCTGAGACTGTATGATGAGCTATAACTCACAATAGAGCACAATAGATCTATAAAGTCGCGGTGACTAACTCCCCTCCTTTCATGCAATTGACATCTACATCTACATCATTAAACAACTTTTTTTAAAGCTAAATTTGAAGTATCAAAATAAAAGGAACTTCGTTCATGTCTAGTACAGCATGACAAACAGTTCTTAATATTGAAAATTCTTCATTACATTGAAATATATTTTCTTGCTTCTTAAGGAGAGGTCATTTTCTTCTAATCCCTTCGCATTCTTCCACTTCAAGATCTACGCTTTAGAATAGACAAACCAGACCCAACCTTAGTTGGCGCTGGAACGTGCTGTTTTTCATCTTTCACTTGTTTCTTGGTTCGCCGTACTTAGCGGGCAACTTGATCTCAGCGAGGCAAGCGTGGTTGGCTGGCAAAAGTAGGCCGCGCTGAAACAATCGACCATCGCGTAACATTGAGCGACCGTAGCTCGAGTAGCGCGTACCGACCAGTCGATTTTCGCGTTGGATCAATTGATTTCATTGAGTTTTCATTTGATCATTTCCATTGAGTTTTTCGCCGATTTCAATATCGATCGAGGCGTGGAATGCCTTTGTAGAGTGTTTGCATCGGTTGGATACATCCATTCGGTTCAGCGTCGTGTGGTATATTATGGTTTTGGCAGATAAAAGCATTACCATGGACTCGGTAAGCGGTTAGGCTAGTTCTCGGCTGTTTATACAGGGTGGAAATTTGAACAGTAGCAATTGGGAATATCTCTTAAACTAAGAAATACTATAGTTACTAATAATTATCAGGAAGGATGGGAGGAAGAACATTGGTTTCTCCATGTAAATTTGAAAATTCTATGGCAATTTTTTGTCTAAGAAAAATTCAAGATTACTATACTGTTCAAATATGTTGCTTACTTTTAAATTTTGTTTTAAATATGTCAAAAAATATGAAAAAAAGTTCATCTAAACAATTTTATGTAGTTTTTTTGTAACTATGCAACTTTTTTGAAGGGTGTTATTTCTGGTAATAATGGCCTTATTTAGGCCTAATAATAAATTAAAAGTATTGACTTCAGTGAACATACCTTATCAAAAATCAAAAAAAAATATACGCCACTGACCTTTCTTGCTGTTGTAATGTTTTTTTCTAGATAACTACTTTAAAAATACAACTTTTTTCTCTTGCATGGTTGCTTGGTGTATGATACACGAATTCCAGAACTGTTTTCGAGAAAATCAAATCATTGCAGGTGCCCAGACCCCATTAAAAAAAACACTTTAAAATATTAAATTTCAATATGCAACTAAAATAAAGTATTAAATTACTTGGAAAAAGTATAGCTTATAATATTGATCTTCAGTGGTACTTTCAATATAATCAATACTATCAAATTCAGAAGAAAATAATGGTATTTAAGATCTGAGGCACGTATAGCCGCCCATACTTGATATTTTTTTTATCTCAAAAACTGTGACTTTGACTGATTTTGATGTTATCAAAAATTTTGTTGCAAATATTATTCCTAATCTTAAATTGAAAACCGCGTTTCGCTAGCTACTGTAATTTTGGAGTTACGATTTTTTTAAATTTTTAACCCCCTCCCATACCCCCTTATCAACCCTCCACCACCACCAAAAACTAA